CAACTCCGACAACAACAACAACAAAAACAAAAAACAACAACAACAACAACAACTACAACAACAACTACTGCTACTGCTACTGCTACTACTACTACTACTACTACTACTACTAACTACTACTACTACTACTGCTGCTGCTGCTACTACTACTACTACTACTACTACTACCACCTTGACTGCTACTGCTGCTGCTACTACTACTACTACTACTACTACTACTACTAGTACTACTGGCACTACTAGTACTACTGGCACTACTAGTACTACTGGCACTACTAGTACTTCTAGTGGTATTCGACTCCTACGACTTCTGCGACTATTGCGACTCCTACAGCTATGCAGCGACTTGTTTTTGGTTGGTTTGGGCCTTGCTTCATGCACGCAAACCCTTGACTTTGCGTTTAGGATGAGCACATTTCCCTCAAGTTTACCGGCAGTGCTGGAGAGGAGAAGCTGAGCGAAGCACAGAAGAGGCACATGCACGGGGGGCATTCGGGGCGACGGCGAAGGGGTCTCGGCCGGCTCGAAGCCGAAACCCGCTCCTCCCCGAACTTTTCTCAGAACCTCCATTTGCAGGCTGAATCCGTACAAGTCTGCCCGGCAGGCGCGCTCTTGGAAGGGAAGGTTGCTTCGGCATTCAGGGGGGCAGGAGGGAGACGTGTATTGAACTGACCGTCTCTCAAGCCTGGATCCTCAAGCCTTCACCCCTCATTGGTGCCTCTGAGTCCTAGACCTTCTGTCCACTCGCCAGGACTACGAGAAGAGAGCGCAGTCCAAGAAGTGCGACGCCGAGCTTCTCTCTTTGTTCTCCCCTCCCTCTTGCTGTCTGTGTACACCCTGGAAAATCAAGCGACATCGACTGGGGCAAGACCCCAATCCTTTGTAGCCGAAGCTTGAAGGCTTGAAGCCTCATCCTAGGCCCAGGGCTTCGTGATGTTTCGTGCGAAGTATCAAGCACGGGGCATATGATTACCCTCAGTCGTCATGGGGGCCACGATACGAGCCCATGTGTAAGCCCTCAAGCCTGTAAAGCGCTGGCGACTCCCGACCAGGCTGCTTGAAGATCTCAGCAGCAAGCTGGCCAGCGCCGAGATCGAGGCATTGGCTTTGGCGGGTCGGGGTTGGAGGATTCTGCGGTTGAGGACTGGGAGTTGGGACAGGCATTTCAATTGTGAACTCACAGGTAGGGTTATAGACCAAGGATAGATAGCACCGGGGTTGAGGGCTTGGGGTCTCGTTTCCCACATTCCTAAACCCCAACACTGAGCCCAACACCTCCAAGCCTCCCCGAAGCCCCAGAGAGCGGAGGTGGAGAAAGCCGCAATGATGACGGCCCCCCTGGGTGGTGACAACCCAGAAGGCGTCAAGGACTGCTTGTGGGGAGGGGGTCGCAGGCAGGTGCTGGAGACCTGGTCTGGGAGCCTCAGACTAGCGCGTAACAGTCCTGCAGGATCCTCCAAGAGGATGGTGTCTTCGCAATTTTCCCGCAACATCTCTCTCTTTTATGGGTTCTATGCCATGCTACATCGAACAGACGGTCTGGTTTTGTCCCCAAGCAGTTCTGGGGGTTGCTCGAAGTCAGGAGTTTGCAGTATAAGAGCAAAGTGGCAAACAAGACAGGAAGCTCTGCTGTCGCGAAGGTCGGTGCAGCCACTGATTTCCAGCAAATCCAAGCTTAATCTGCAAAAAGTGTCCGCTTTGGGATTGAGCAAAGAGGATCCTAACTCAGAAGGAACTCCATCCACCGCAGATCATGTGGTAGTTCGCCCTGCATTAGCTTGTCACTCGTCAAGAGATCCTCAGAAGAGCCGCAGGGGTTGGGAAGGACTGGCGGCTTCTGAAATTCAGCCGGAACACAAAGCCTCAAACCTGCCGGGGAACGCTAAACCCCGCTCTAATCGAGCCTCGGAGCTTGCTGGGAGGAGACGGAATCCGCCTTAGCGACCGCCCAGTCGCTGCTGGCACAGACGCGGGGAGCCCACAGGGGCAAGTATGAGACATGTTTAATTAATACTGTTTGGGATTTGGGGTTTAGGGTTTGTAACAGGTCACTTCTTATCCGAACGTAGCGATACAGGCATTGATTGACTGGTGGACTGATGAGTTTGTTGCTCGATTATGACTATTGCCTGTAACCATGAGCCTTGCTAGTGTTGTTGCTGCTGTCGTTTGGTGCTACTGTTAGTCGCCTTATAATCACACAACATGATCATCATAATGTTGTTGTTGTTGTTGCATGGCTGTTAGTACCACGTAATGATACCTTGGGCTTTAGACCAGGAATCGCCTGGTCGATTCAAAGCTCCGCACGGCCGAGAAGACGAACGAGCTGCTAGTGGCCGAGCTGAAGGCACTGCTTGGCTTTTCTGGCACGGGAACATGCACTTGACGAGCTCAACCTCGCTTCGCAGAAAAGGTTCGACGGAGGTTCGGCAAGGTTTCGGGCTCCGATAGTCGTTGCCGTATGTTGCGGTGTTGGGCTACGTTTTGCCGTCCGCTGCCCCTGCTCAGGGCATGCAAGAGCGTGGAAAGTTGGCCCAGGACAGCAGGGTGAGCGGGTCGGGCCGGAAGGCATAAGCTGTAGCCGCTTTTGCCCCTAAGCTCCAAGCCAATGTACAAGCCAGGCGGCGTTTGGAAGGCATTTGTCTTTGGCCATCTTGCTAGAAGCTGCAGGGTTTGGGCTTAGCACCGCAGAAGTCGTCAGTCGTCCATGAACTCAACGACGCCGCTGAAAGCTCAAGCTGATGCTGCCATGCCGGACGCCTGATCTCCTCAGCCTGGAAAGAGGGGGAACTCTCATGAAACAAGGAGGGAGTGCCGGTGGTGAAGACTAGTGAGTCAAGATCATGGGGCCACCTTCTGCAAACTGCATGAAGGCAAAGTTGTCGAAGTAGCGGGCTCGTGCCGTAACTCGAGGTGCTCGGGTGCCTAACTGGTCCCTGCTGGCGATCAGGTTGTTTTGGAGTAGTCGTCGTGCTTATGGTCCGTTTGTTTGATGCACGCACGGCCTTCACGACCTGTGAGATGCACTCGTTCATCTGGCTGTTCAGCACCAAGAGCGCCGACAATCCGTGACTATCTGCTTGATCTTGGCGGCCACATCACGGCTTCCTTGCATGTATATTCAACATCGCATCTCAGATCTCAGAAAAAGTGGTGAAGACCACATTCCTGCAGGAACATGAGCAACGGGAACTGTTTCAGTATGTGAAGGACGAGCACGCTCGCGGTCTGCTGACAAGAGAGGGCGAGGACTGCGACATGAAAGTAAAATACGAAGTGTTTGGACGGGCGTGTTACAAGCCGTCTGATAACGTCGCCGCCGCGCTATTCAGTCCCAAGAGCACCGACTATGTGCTTGATCTAGGCGCCCACATCGGCACGGCTTCGGCATGGTTTCTTGAACAAGGCATCTCCGGCGGCGACTCGTATGAGCCGACTGGCACATATGACACGTTGCAGAAGAACCTGGGCCAGGATGCCCGAATGACATTGCACCAGGAAGCAGTACTGCACGAGACATCGTCCTGGCGGTGTGTCGGTTGCAACTTCGCGGCGGATTCTGCTCACGGGGACCCACATAGCGATTCAGAAGCCATCAGGGCCGGCGGTGAGACTTACTGCTTGAAACAGATCGGCAGCTACCGGACTGTGGTGATGGCCACAGAATTCAGTCGCCGCTGGCCAATAGGGTCGGAAGCTCACGTTAGCTTGCTTGAGGCTGCGAAGACTTGCGTCACCATGCAGCTGTTGCCAGAGGCGATTGATCACATGAAAACAGTCGGGCATGCGGCATGATCGTGCAGGAAGCCGGAGAGATGCAGGCTGAGTTCTCGGAGTGGTGTTTGGACGGGAGTGCTAAAAGCCGTCTGATGCCGCCGCCGCGCTGTTCAGCACCAAGAGCGCCGACTATCTGTGCCTATCTGCTTGATCTCGGCGGCCATATCACGGCTTCCTTGCATGTATATTCAACAGGGCATCTCCGGCGCCGACTCGTATGAGCCGACCGGCAACTTATGACATGCTGCAGAAGAACCTGGGCCAGGATAGCCGAATGACATTACAACAGAAAGCACCAGAAAGATGCACTGCACGAGACATCGTCTGGCGGTGTCAACTTCGCGGCGGATTCTGCTCACGGGGACCCACATAGCGATTCAGAAGCCATCAGGGCCGGCGGTGAGACTTACTGCTTGAAACGGATCGGCAACTACCAGACGCTTGTCGTGGCAACAAACTTCGCTCACTTTCGGCTCGGTTCCAAGTTCAGCGCAACCCATGCAGTTGGAGGAGCGGGTGGAGGCGATGAGGGCAGCGCTCGTACCGCGATGTTTTGGGGAGTTTCGGACTTGCAGGAGCATCGCGAATTTTGAGATTTTGGCGTCTCATGAGGACTGGCAGCTTTTGTACGCGGTCCAGCGTGACGGCTCGATCCTTTTCTTCTGGAAGTTCACGGCAGCTCGGAGCCAAGCGTCACCAGTCAACATCTGAGGCGCATGGGTAGGACGCCAGGTCCTCTGGCTGCGAGAGGATGCGTCGCACTTCATAAAATCGAAGCACTCGATCATTTGTTGCAGCTGATGGGCTTTTCCACCGAATTTCCACTTGCGGCCTTGCGCAGTCATCTTGACATCGTTCTGTCTGTCGTCCACTTAACGGCTCGCAGGCCGTTCCTTGGCCCTCGCATGTCTGCAACATTCAGCACCGGCACCGGCACCAGCCGACACCGCCACCGACACAACCCCTACCGCCATCACCATCACCACCACCATCATTCATCACCATCACCGTCATCACCAACATAATCACCACGCCGCGACCACCACCACTGCCACCACTACAGCCACCGCCAGCGCCACCGCCACCGCCAGATCAGCGTCAGCGGCAGCGACAGCGTCAGCATGAGCTTTAGCACCGGCACCAGCACCGGCACCAGCACCGGCACCAGCACCAGCATCAGCATCATCATCATCATCATCGTCATCATCATCATCATCATCTTCAACATCATCATCATCATCATCAACATCATCATCATCATCAGCATCATCACCATCGTCATTCCCATCCTCATCCCCATCCTCATCCTCCGGCATGATAAAATGATGCTTCTTTGTGCAAGCACCGCTCTGTAAATTTTGCTTGTGCGTCATGGGTCATTGCCACTACGGCTCCCACTTTCCAGGAGAAGCTGGACGAAGTCCGGCGAAGCCTCAAGGAAACACAGGCAAGCGAGGGTGGCGGTGAAGGGGGAGCGACTGAAGTTCTCAGACGGACACGCATAAACTCGTGGGGATCAATCGCGCAACTTTCTATCCAGAAAAGCCGAGAACAGCTTGAAGCATCACGAAGAAATATTCACAGAAAGGCATGTGACTTGTGACCAACACCTCTACCCCACGAGCCACCCGATCCCGGCCACTACAAGGCCCAGAGAGCCGAATGGCACTGCTCCAGAAGCTGCGTAGGGCTTAGGAGGCTTAGGTCCCTTTCCTTCCTTCTCGTTGTTGTCAATAATGCTTTCGAAGAACCGACTGTTCTGGTCGTGAGCCTTCCCTTAAGCCCCCGAAGCCGTGGAGGTACGAATGGCCGCTGACGCCTTAATGAAGGAGGCCACGCTTGGAATGTTTTCGGACTCTTTTCGTAGGCGCTTGATGGCAGTTGAGGGGACATTCACAGGGTGCTTCTGAATTTCCCAGCAGTCGCAAAGGGTGGCTGATGAGCTGTAATTGCAGCAGCCGAAGAATCTTTCACCGCTTAAGCCCAGCAAGGGGCTTCATCGTCGCTCATGCTGCTTTTTGTCGGGAGCAGCTGTTTTGATCCTTTTCGGGGTGTTGTTCAGGCTTCTGGTTTGGGCGTCTCGTCCTCAATCTAGCTTTTACAAAGTTCTTTATCCAAAGGGCACGTTCTTCTTCAGTGGCCGGGAGCCACGTACTGCGGAGAAGCAGGCTTCGAAGCCAACGACTTCTACCATCACCAAGGATCACCATTGTCACCCCATGCAGTGATGCTACGGGCTTGGGCTGACTGACGTGCACCTAGGAAAGGAGCTTTTACAAGGCCCGATTCTCACTCCCGTAGCCCGTCCACGCCCCTTTGATTGAAAACTCGAAGCCCGAAAGGCACCAGACTCAAAATCCCAACGCAAATTTCCTCAAAAGGCCCAGACAGAGAGTGCTGTTTTGAGAGGTGTCAGACAAAGTGGCCTTCGCGGAAGACGAGCTCCAGAAAATGGCCGAAGCGGATCCTCGTCTGCCCTGGCGTTTGACCCAAGGGAACTTAGGATTTTAGGGCTTTGGGATGCGATTTGGTATGAGCCTCTTACTGGTAGGGTTCTTCCAGGGCTCTTGGGGTTTGTGAAACAGGTTTACTGCGTTGAGGGTTTAGGGTGTCTAGGGTCTGCAACTATTCATCCCAGATTGCCCTGTCATTGCAGCTTCTTCACGGCCACGGAGTGGGCAACATCGCATGAAGGTGACAAGTTCATGGTCGTTGGCACCGCCCACCTCAAGCTCAACGATTTCGGTATGCGTCTACTTCCACCCGGGTTACATGGATGAGGGTTTTGCCTTTGACCTTTGAAATTGCGTTTTGTGTGACCATGACAGCCTCGAATACCGTGACAAGGAGATTCTTGAGCTCGTTGAGCTAATCCAAGCTTTGCTGAAAATGGGATCCCTCTGACCTACCTAACTTCGAGGATCTAATTCAGTCCCACTGAGCAAAGTCATGTGAATTTATTTTTTTGGTAGGTGAGGGGGAGACTGCAAGATTTCGATCGCCCGACCGACAGCAGTGATGCGTTGATTGCGCAATGTTGATCCTTTGTATGCTTTGAAGACGTGGGGCGGATGTGACGCTATTTTTTGCATTGACGGGTTGAAAGCTGGAGCCATGTTGATTCACCTTGAGCCGTCCCACGCCAAACAGAAACCGCAACTCCAGAACCTACAACCCACATCCCGCCACAGTCATTCAGGATCCTTGGCCCGAGACTTCAAAGCCTATAATTATTGTAACACCCTTACGGCCTCTTTGCCTACGCGTAAACCGTCCCGAGACCCGTTCTGAGGAGCTGCCCTTCCTCCGAAATGACAAAGACCAGGACGGGTTGTTTGGAGGTTTTCATGCTTGCTGCTCAGGTTTTTTTTGTATTCCAGACACGGCCCGGAAACAGCAGAGTTCATGGTTCAGAGCTGCAGGTCGTCCCTATATGAGGCCACGGTCATGTGAGAACTCGCACGTACCTGGGGCTGTGCCAAGTCATGTGCGTTTAGCCTTCCAAACAGCGTGATTTCGTTGTTCGTAGTTATCATTACTGCCCCAAAAATGTTAGTATTTTATAGCATTCGTCATCACCACCAGAACAGCTGGTCCCCTCCAGACTGATAACTTGCGGAGGGCCAACAGAGGCTCGCCGAGCGCTACATGCCGGCGGCCTCAAGAAGCAAAAGCGTAGTGTCGTACCTGGGCAAGTTACCCATTACAGCAGCTGCATTGTTATGTATTCCAACATTCAAAAGCGTTCCATGCATATGTAGCATGTGCATTTCTTTTTTGCACATGCTGACATGTTCATGCACCGTGCTGCGCCGTGTCTGTATCAATCACACATATCCAAAGCATCAATAAGCAGTTGCGATGGTTGCTTGCGTACATACATACGTGCAGACAGGCGCACATGCAAACAAAGGAACAAGCAAGCAAGCCAGCCATGTAGTGCTTGCACCTGCCCTTGCTGCGAACACTTGCAAGCACATGCTGAAGCTCCGACGTGGATGCTTGTGGCCCCGGGGGTTCCACCTAGAGTTCAAAGCACTCTCCGTGTTTGGTTGCTTGTGCTCTGTTGTTGCTGTGTTGCAGCTGCAAATGCCGCTATTATCCTGTCCGACAGCTGCATCCCACGGGGCGCGCTGGAGATCACGCGGCTCCTGGTCTGCCTCGTCCGCAGTTGTCTGTGACATCTTCCACTTTCCTGAGCCGAGCTTATTGCCTTCATCCTCGACTACTCCGCAGGTTTCATGCGGCCATGTTGCCGGCGTTGAGCACGGGCCGGGGTCCTGCAAAACGACTGCGCCTTGACCAGCCAGCATGCGTTGGTGACAAGCTTTTCGATAGTGGACACCGACCACGGCGGTGGTGTTGAGTTCGGAGGAGCCCGGTAACGGATCCGTGGCCGTGGAGCTGTCCTTGCTTATGTCGTCGGCCCCATGTGTTCTGGTTAGAGCTTTGCTCTCTCGGTCTTGCATGATCTTGAGGATGTCCTCGGCGTCGTGGGGATGTCCATGAGCGGCTCCCGCTTCGCCGCCTCGTCGGTGTCTTGGTGCTCCTCTTCCTCGATCTGGGAGACGGTCGGGTCCGCGAGGAGCACCTGAAGTTCTGCAAAGCTTTTGCCTCCACCCCATACTGCTCTTGAGTTTCTTGCCTCAGTCGTCGCTGGTCTCCCTGATACTGTCGTAACTGAGTAGTGAACTCTTGCCACTGCCATCGCCAGCTTGTCGCTCCGCCTGGGCCTTTCGGCAACGGCCCTCCGCTCCTCTTGCAGGTTGAGCATATCTGACCTTGGCGCACAAAGTCGCCTGCGGAATGATTGGCTTCCTCTCGGTTGACAATGGAGTCATTCTGGGTCGCTGCCTACCAGCCCTGCGATTCTGTGGCGCATTCACCTTGTTGTAGGCTGGGTTCGACATGACCTGCATGCTTGTCCTTCCATCCCTCCTTTTGGGGCTTGTCGCGCCCACGCGAAGACCAGCCATGGTATCCATATTACCGACTTCCCAAAAGTTCGCGGTTCTTCGGTTGGGAATGATGCGAGGCTTGCCGTAGAAGCGTTGCCTGAGGTGGGTGCCCGACCACTCTTCTCACCGGCTCGATCACCCGACGGTCACGTGCATTGTGCGCTTTGCAGCGACGGTGCCAGGTTGGTGATCGAGGTGGAATGGTTTGGGCGTGCAGTAGGCTTTGGCTTTGGGGGCAGTTGCTATTTGCGAGCAGCAGCATTCGATCCGAAATCCTCAACATTACATGCATGCATACATACATACATGCATGCCTGCATACATACGTACGTACGTACGCACGCACGTACGTACATGCGTAGATATATATATATATATATATATGTGTATTGAGTACACAAATATATAAAGACAGACTGATGTGCGTGCGTGCAGTGGATACATATACATATATGTATGTATGTATGTATGTATGTATGTATGTATATATATATATATGTATATATATATATATGTATATATACATATATGTATATGTGCATGCCTAGGCACATTGTATACATACACACATACGCATGCGTGCAGGCATGGAGCCATGGACACTGAGTCGATGCACAAGACATGTGTCCCTAAACCAAGATTGTTTTGATGACCAGGGCTGTGTGCAATACGTTCCACTAGAAAGAGTCATCTTTCACCACAGCACTACATAGATCCAGGGTGCGTTTAGTACGTTTGCCGCGACTCTGGGCTGTCACGACATCTTGTTGTGGAAGTTCTTCTTGTTCTTGGGGGGGGGGTTGGGGGGGTGGGGCGCAGTGATAAACCTGATACTTACGTGCTTAATTAGAAGTCTCGACAGCTGAAAGTCTTAGTCCGAAGCCTGAACCTTGAACAACAACCCTCAAGACACAACACCTCAAACTCTGAAGTCTGACCGGGGCGTTTTGGACGGAGGCGTGCTTGGAGCACAAAATTCGGCTTCAAGACTACGGCGTGCAAAGTAAAGCTTCTCTAGGCGCTGTCGATAAATGATCAGCACTGCAGCCACTTCCGGTGTTGGAGGACTGCGCTTCAGGCTTCAAGCCAGAAACCTCTCGGGACAGGTCTGCTGCAATTGCCATGAGAGCCTTCCACGGCAATGCTCCCCTTCTGTCTTCCGTGAAAACTGCATAACTCACCACAATCTCACAGAAGTCTGCAGACACCACTTGTGTCAAAGCTTTGTGCGTGTCGTCTGCTTCCAGCCAAGGGATGTTCCAAAAACTTATCAAGCAAGGAGGTCCAGGCCGACCACTGGCTCACAGCAACAGTGCATCACTCAATGCCTCCAGAAGTTCGAAAGAAGCATGAAATTTCAAATTTACATGGCCACGAAACACCGAGAGGGTAGCCACTCGCGTCCTACAACTCTGAAGTTCCAAGACGCAACATCAATTGTTTTTTTAGGATGTGTCCTTATGCACATGCCTGATACGATGTCTGTCACGCTATGATTATGAAAGTCTTACGCACTCAGAAAATGCTGTCCCTGCCAGTACAAAAGCAATGTTGCCTGTGGATGCAATACAAAAGAATCTACCTCACAACCGCAAAGACAGCACACATGTCAGCAATCTGCAACGAAATGCGCGGCAAACGTACTAAACGCGCCCTAGATCCAAACCCCCGAATAACCGGGCCCACAGCTTCAGTTGTCAATCTTTTCAGAGTGATTTCGGAGGATCAGGATGCACTGTTCCTGGAGGCAGACAAGGCGGCAGATTGCACGGTTCTCTGGATTGGGAGCTTCTGGTTTTTGCCATTGACATGGCGAGTGGTAAGCGTATAAGAGGCAGGCTTTCGCTGTGACTTCGTGCAAGGGCGAGATCTGTGTGCGCAGTGGAAAAAATTGTGTTGACATTTGGCGACTGTCCGGGGTGTGCTTTGAGGATGTGTTTTGGTTGGCATGCAGCCCTGCTTCAGTCCAATTTAGGCTAAGACATGCACAACATCGCAAGAGCAGTCGATGTTGGAAGTGCAGCTGCGCCAAGCTTGCCAGTTCACGTACATGCTTCGAACAAGTCAACGAGCTAAGGGTACCTCCAACACTGTTGTGAAGGAATTGTCTGCGGTACGCAAAAACATCGGGACCAATGTCCTCTGAAAAAGGACGCCGGTTTTTGCAGCATCGTGTGCAGTTGTTACTTCAGTGCAAGCTTCTCATGCCCAACCTAACTTTCCCAGCCTGAGATGTAAATCTTGAAACCCTTCAAATTCAAGCCATCCCATCCGTTCGCTCACCTTTCCCCAACCCGAATCCCTAAATCCTTCAACCACACGTATATCCTAAACCCATATTCCTAAGTCCTTATAAGCTCCGAGCCCTCAGCCCTAGACCCCAGAAGCGCCGCACAGCGCAAAAGCCAGGTGGCTGTGCAGGTCCACTCGGCGCTTGCCGAGGCCCAGAGCTTCGTGGCCCGGAAGCTGGTGGAGGTCCGCGCACTCTGCAAGGAAGCTTGGGCTTCTGCGGTTCTGGTTCTTGCATGCGAAGTTTGAGAAGGGGTAGCATGCCGGGTCCCGCAGGTTCGTCAGCACGTCGTTTCGGAAGATAGGTTAACAAGAAGTGCTGCAGGACCTTCCTTTCTCAGGTCTTCTCCCCAGAGCACGCGTGCAGGTGGCAAAGTTCTCCGATGCTCCGGGGCAGACAGTCAGAGAGGAGGCCAGCAACCCTTCGAGGGTTCAGGGTTCTCGTTTCGGGTTTTTGGGCTTGGGGTTTGTTCAGGATGTAGGGATCGAGGTCTAGGTTATTGTGAGGCGACTCTCAAATCTTGCAGTTGACGGAAGGTCGACATGCTGCAGAAGAGGCTCGAGGAGGGCCGCGACCGTCTGCAGCAGTTCAGGCCCGTTGGGAAGCTTGGGTTCAGCGAAGGCGGCGAAGCGGTCAAGCGATGCACTGTGGATTGGAAGGCTTGGTGGCCGAAGGGCACAACTGCGGCTGTGGGTTACGCGTTCGGGTTTTGCGGCGCTTGCTGCAGCAGCTTCAGGATCCGTCGTAGCACAAGGTTCGAAGACCCTGAATCTGAAGGCCCGACGCGTCCCTAAGCATTGAAGAGACTGTGCTGAACCCGATGAGTCGAAAGTTCCGACGAATACGGGAGCTCTGATCCGGGCTTTCCCAAACTCATGGGTCCTTTTGGAAGGCTCGCAACAAGGATCGTAGTATGCATTGTCATTACTGGGGTTCTTACTTTCCTGGACATGCCCCGACCCTTCCCTGCAGGACGAGCATCGCAGAGAGAAAGCGGTCGCACTTGCTGGAGGAGGAAGGGCTTGGCGGTGTTGCGGGTAATTGTGCGCTTATGGCAGATGTGGCTGGGAGACCCTGAAACTCCAAAAGCCGCGCCAAGCTGTCAGGTCGAGCAGAAAGTCTTGAAAGCAGAGGAGGAGGTCAGTGGGGAGACGGGCAGAAGCTGGGAGCTGGGGCAGAGCGGCTCCACCAAGTCTTGGCGCCTCCTTCTCGAGACTTCGACTCCTCGTGTCTCGCATTTGCCCAGACTCGATCCACCGACGCGGTTCACTCTCAATTTGGACCCCAGAGTTGACAAGGGGCCGGATGAATCAAAACCCAAACCCGAAGAGGCTCCTTCGAGCCAGAAAGGCCCTGAAGCCAATCAGAGTCCACAGAACTGGCACGAAATCGTAGGTGAAGCGAATGACAGAAGTGACGGCGCAGCTGCCAAGCCCCCCGGCACAGGGTTTCAGCTCCGATGGGGTCGATAAGGCTTTGGGGGTTTGGGGAGTTTAGGGTTCGTGTCGGGGTTCCCATGTCCGGATAGTCAGCAACTGGCACGAAATCGGGGCATTTTTTCAGACGCCTGCAAAGTCCCCAGACAACCTCGGAGACCTCGCAAGAAAAGCGGCGAAGTCCTGGGAGCCGAGGCTTTGGGAAGGCCGGGGAGTCCGTGTCCGAAGGCCTCTCTGAGACCTTAGAGCAGGCGCGGGGCCCACCGATGCTTTTTTTTGAGGGCATTCCGGCGACTGCCGGCGGGTTTCGCGGCGTTGCGCCTGGAGTGAAGCGATTTTCCAAACCCATGAACCGTTTACGGACCGTTTACCCGAAGCCCCCGACTCCCGCCGTAGTTAAGACCTTGGATCCCTGTTAGCCCAGACTCCAAAAACAGACGCATGAACCTCAAGCACAATCTACGCCCAAACCCCAAAGCATAGCTCTTTCTCCTCTTGCCCCTGCCACTGCTGCTCCCGCCACAGTCGATACTAGTAGTGCTAGTATTAGTACGATTGCCCAGTGCCCAGTGCCCAGTACCCAGTACCTCGTACCAGTGCCAGAGCACCGGTTAAATCTACTGCTAGTACTACGAGTATTAGTAGTGCTACTGACACTACCAGTACTACTAGTACTACTGGCACAACGAGTGTCTCTAGTACTACCAGTACCTAGTACTTTGCACTAGTAGTGCTACTAGTCTTACTGGTACTACTAGCACGATTCGTATTACGAGTGTTGCAAGTGCGATAGTAGTATTAGTACCACTAGTATTACCAGTAGTACTAGTATTACTGGCACTACTGGCACTACTCGTACTATATATATATATACTACTACTACTACTACTACTACTACTACTACTACTACAGGTAGTGTTTGTTCTAGTACTGTTAGCACATAGTAACATAGTACTACTAGTATTATTAGCACATTATTAGCACGACTAGCACTGCTAGTATTATTTTTATTGATATTGTTATTATTGTTATTATTACTACTACTACCACCACGACTACTGACTACTGCTGCTACTACTATTGCTACTCCTGCTCCTCCTCCTACTACGACTACGACTACGACTACGACTACGACGACGACGACGACTACTACTTCTACTACTTCTA